ACTGTGTTAGCCAGGATGGTCTTGATCTCCTGACCTCATGATCCGCCCGTCTTGGCCTCCCAAAGTGCTGGGATTACAGGCTTGAGCCACTGCGCCCGACGAGATATTCTTAATTTAGAAATGTACCAGAGAGTATTTTAAAAATCACACTCTGCCAGGTGTGGTGGCTCACGCCTGTCATCCCAGCACTTTGGGAGGCAGGCAGATCATCTGAGGTCAGGAGTTCAAGACCAGCCTGGCCAACATGGTGAAACTCTGTCTCTACTAAAAATACAAAAATTAGTCAGGTGTGGTGATGCGTGCCTGTAATTCCAGCGAATCAGCAGGCTGAGGCAGGAGAATTGCTTGAACCTGGGAGGTGGAAGTTGCAGGGAACCAAAATAGTGCCACTATACTTCAGCCTGGGCGATGGAGTGAGACTCAAAAAAAAAAAAAAAATCACATTCCTGACTAAAAATTTCCAGGAAGCCGGGCGCGGTGGCGGTGGCTCACGCCTGTAATCCCAGCACTTTGGGAGGCCGAGGCGGGTGGATCATGAGGTCAGATCGAGACCATCCTGGCTAACAAGGTGAAACCCCGTCTCTACTAAAAATGCAAAAAATTAGCCGGACGTGGTAGCGGGCGCCTGTAGTACCAGCTACTCGGGAGGTTGAGGCAGGAGAATGGCATGAACCCAGGAGGCGGAGCTTGCTGTGAGCCGAGATCGTGCCACAGCACTCCAGCCTGGGCAGAGCAAGACTCCGTCTCAAAAAAAAAAAAAAATTTCCAGGAGGTTCTTTTAGTTTTTTCTGTTTCTGTTTTTTACACACAGACCAACCAACTCAAAAAGTGACTGGGGATAAAAAGGAAACACCACACTGTATCTTTTTGAAATGTAAGTATACAGATTTTAATTTATTTTTAAGAATAATTTTATATTTTAAAAACAGGACACGTACTGTATGAGTAAACAAGTGTGGCTGACACAGACCAAGTCCACACTGGTAAGCTTTTGAGAACCATTTACACTATGTTGACAGTAGTACTGCTGCAGGCAGACAGAGGAAGAATAAATAATAGTGCTTCAAGAAGAGTAGTGATTGAGAGGGTAGGTAAAGAGGGCATCTCATCGTGGATGCTAGAGCAGGAACAACTCCCCAGTAGTGACATGTGCAAAGTTCCAGATCTCCACGACAAAGACAGCCCAACCCATTGGAACAAACAGACTCCCAATGCAGCTGGCAACTGCAGGGGTAGAAGAACTCAGGCCAAGTAGGCACAGGAATGGGGAGATGGGAGCCAGGGACAAACGCTGAGGAAAGCATTCCAACAAGCATGTGTGTTCATACATGCATACCCCCAACAAAGGGCATTGCACTGTGTAACAGAACTGAACACAATTTAACAAAGCAGTTCCCAGCCTTCCTGTCACCTCTTTGGCAGTAGGGCAGGCCATCTCAACTTCAGACACACAGACATTCTCATCAGGAGGAAGGCTGTCCTGTGTGGTGGGGACAAAGCTTCAGGTGAGAGCAAAGCTATGATAGCTACAGCATTAATTGAACATGCCTAAACAAAAAAGATGTTAATTACTAGTTACAGGTATACATGCCAGAATTACCCCAGGGATGGGCATAGTCAGTCATTTTCCTACACAGTGGTGAAATAAAACAAGCTTTGATCATGCTTCAGCAAGTAGAATTATGTGGTAGAGGTCAGGCCCCATATGCTAAAATTTGCACTTCCTGCCATAAACTTTTAATGTATTTAAGTCAAAACCAAGTCTCCTAGGACCACCAAACCTATGATGGACTTTCATCTGTAACACTCATTCACATCTTTAAGTTAGGCCCATGGTCATGGAACCTGTCCAGGGTTTCAAGCACGCCTATGCTGAAGAAAAACTACGGTCACCCCCAAATAACTAGGTCCAGTCTAGGCACAGGAAGCCCCAGCTGGTTGACTGATCAGGGCTTCTCAGGACTGGATGTTGGTTGAATTGAGGATTCCAGAAGTAGCATCAGATTTGGAAGCCTTTGAAAGTTCTCGCTGTTGAAAAATAAATAACATCAGTGGCAATACTGCCTCTATTACACATGCCCCACCCTTCTAAGTATGGTTAAGTGTCAGCAAAAGGTCCCTTGAAGGCAGTTTCTCTGAGATCCCCAGCCTGGCATAGGCTGCGTTAGGAGTAAAAGGCGAAGAACTCTGAGCACCATTCTATTAGTCATAGACAGAGTGCATGTACACACATGCCTGTGATCCCTTTCCTCAGCCTGTCCCTTCTGTTACACCTCAGAGAAGAGAAATCCTTCATACAGTCATGCACCACATAATGACGTTTCAGTTAACAACAGGCCACATACACTATGGTGGTCCCATAAGATTATACCGTATTTTTACTGTACCTTTTCTTATGTTTAGATACACAAATACTTACCATTGCGTTACAACTGCCTACAGTATCCCAGCCTGAATCAAAAAAACCCACAATTGCCTATAGTATTCTTTCTGTAACATGCTGCCCAGGTTTGTAGCCTAGGAGGAAAACGCCATACCATATAGCTTAGGTGTGTAGGCTGTACTGTCTAGGACTGTTAAGTACATACTGATATGTGCACAATGAAATTGCCCCACACATTCTCAGAACATATCCCTGTCATTAAGTGAGGCATGACTCTACTTCACAAAGCTACTTTAGAGTCGTCAAGTAGGCAACAAGCTTTGGTCTCCTGAAGCCCTCTATAAAACAATGGGCCAGAACATATATCTACCAATCCCTGGGGCTGAGGCCTTGTAACCTGCTGGTGATTTGATCTGATGCTGGAGCACATGGTATAGCAGCAAAAGATAAAGCATGAATGGCCATTGAGAAAGACAGATATTAGCAGAGGTTAGTTTACCGGCTTTGGTGCTGCCTGGTGGAGTCTATCAGCCATAGCAACCCAAACCAGATGAACCTACCTAGGACTAGCCACAGAGATAGGCAGGTACATTTAAGCCTCAACTAGATAAAATGGGCCTTGGTTGAACAAGCAAAAAAGAGAAAGCTGGACCTCTGTCCAACAGTCAGCCAGAGTGACACACACCCACTTTTATAGGTAGAAGTACCACCAGCCATGTAATTTGAAAAACTTGCTGGAGTAGGAGGCCAGTTTCAGTGATTAAAATTAGCTGCAGCCTTGGCCAACTGTTCCATTCTCCATCCCTGCAGCAATTAAGAGGGGAGGCACGCTAGGGGTTTAACTCAACCATCCCCTCAAGGGTGAGGGACATCCTCACCTCTTGCTAGTAAAATATTGAGAGAAGAGAAGATAGATTAAGTAAAAGGCAGTGTAATTAGGTGTTAGCAGATATAGAGTAGGATACTAGGAAGTGAAGAGCATTCTGGAAAAACTTGCTTCCAATGCTTCATCTATGCTTCAGTAGCTCAATGTATGGAAAGAGGCAAAGGTGAGGAAATCGGCATTAGCTAGCTGAGAATAGACAGAGCTGGCAGTTGAGCCCTGAGGTTAGGAAGGCATATACTCCAGGAAATAATCAGCACACAGGCCAAGAGCCTCATTGTAGGCAGCACACAGCTGGGGCCCCCTTCCCCATGTGATGGGGCCTCTATTCTTTCCAGCTACTGCAGGCCTTTGATGTCACAATTGGGGAGGGTCAAGGTTTTCTGTTAAAATACGATTTAAAACTGCCTGACTTTAGGGGCTGAGAATCCAATTCAAGTCTGAACAAATTTTCTTATTAATCTGTTGTGAATGTAAATCAGATGTGTTTTTTTTGAGTCCATGATAGGAATTCCTGCTTCCTTTGTAACACTGCCGAGATTATTGGTTAGTGTAGCCCTGTGCCCAGATGAATGAAGCCAGCAGATGACAGATCAGTTTGGAAAAGGGACATGGGACGTGCAGGGGTTGCCATACAGACCTGAAGCCCAACAGTGGAACTGTCAGAGAGGGACGGATCCTTCTAAGAACAAAGAATTGAGACAATTACCAAGAACTCCACCAAGAGAGCACCAGGGCAGTGATAGAGGGGTTGCCTCCCGCAGCCAGGGAATGGTATATATTAAGCAGAAGGATCCAGGTTCAATGTCTAGTTGCTGCTGCCAACTTCCTTCCTATACAACCCCCGCTTAAATCACACCCACCCCGCCATGGTCAAAGCAGGAAACGGATTCTCAGCCTCCAAGGTAGCTGCCCTAGCTAACAGCCTGGGTGCCCCTGGGAAGATCCCCACTCTGCCCCAACTGTGTGCTCCCCAGAGACTGGTAGATATTAGAAAAGGTGAATTACCGCAAACTCAGAATAGGTGCTGGCAACAGAATTAATGCTGAAGTTGCGCTGGAGGGGGGCCGAGCCAGGGTACCCACCACTCAGGATGCTGCCGTTGAGCTCCAGGTTCTCCTTGTTGGCTCCATGCCTGCCAGTACGGGGTGTTTTCTTCCCTGAACAGGTGGAAGCAGCAACTGGCTGCAGAGAAAGGAAAGAGATCCATGTATCCTCCTTCTAATGAACGTGCACACACAATACCTGCACTGGTCAACGGCTGAGACTATCTTTATATTCATGTCTATAATCCTATACTTTTTAGTTAAAAAAAAATATATATATATGGGGCTGGGTGTGGCTCACGCCTATAATTCCAACACTTTGGGAGGCCAAGGCAGGAGGATTGCTTGAGGCCACATGTTCAAGACCAGCCTGGGAAACAGAACCCCATCTCTAGAAAAAAATTTTTTTAAATATGAGTTCTTGATTTACAGAACACCTATCTTGTGCATAGTCTAATAAAATATTTGAAAGACTGTGCTTTACCACATACTTTTCAACATCTATACTGAGTACTTGGCATGTCTAGTGATCTGGTTTCACTGGGCTGGAACCCACATGTAGGGGACCTAGCTCCATACCAGCTGAAGACTGGGCTTGGAATTGAGTCGGCTTGGAATTGAGTCCACAGTGACCCTGCCTGATCTTCAGTTTCCCAGACATCCCAGTGCTTCTCATGATACCAGTGGGGCTCAGAGTGACTGTTCTCTTTTTTTGCACATTAATTTTGGGCCATTATTTAATGGTGAGCTAGCTTATATCTGTCAACTCTCAGCGTGTAAGTAAGAACCAAATCCAGGGATCTTAGAATCCAGAACAAGTAGGTGGGGCCTCTGGGTGAACAGGCTAGGGATGCATGTGAGGATGTGCTTAGACACAGGGCATACTAACCTTGCTGCCAGAAGGAGGAAGTCGAGACACAGGGGAGTGGTAGATTGTCCCTCCAAAGATAGGCCGAATGCTACTATTGGCCGTAGCATTGGACATGGTGGTAGTGTTCAGCTAGAGAGAAGAACACACGGGTTACTTATGTGCAGTAACATCCTCAGCATTTCCAGCAACCCGTCTCTACCCTACAGAGAAATGACTATTGGAGGCAGTCCAGGGAAGGTGGGTTTACATGGTGAAGGGCCTGCTGTGTCTAATACTGCATAGGTTTGAAGAAACCTGTGGAAAATTTTCAAAGCCTATTGATATCCAGCAAATGGAAATGTAAAATGGTACAACCACTGTGGCACAAGACATCTAGCATACAACCCAGCCATTCTACTCTCAGGTGTCTCTACCCAAAAGAAACGAAAGCAGAGATCCATACAAAGACTTAGATGTAAATGTTCATAGCAGCTACCTGCAACAGCCAAAAGCTGGAAACAACCAAATACCCATCAGCAGGTAAGTGGACAAACTGTGGCAAATTCATACAGTGGAATGAATATTGATATGCAGTAAAAAGGAGTGACCTTTTGATACATTCAACAACAGAGATGAATCTATACTAAATGAAAGAAGCCAGACAAAAAAGAATATATACTGCGGGATTCTATGTAAAATGTTTCAAAATGCAAACATCTGTAGTTAAAGAGTAAATCCTTACTTGCCACAGCTAGAGGCTGGGGGCAAATCAGGAGCCAGAGAAGGAGGGAGGTAATACAAAGAGGCACTAGGAAACTTTGGGGACCATGGAAATGTTCATTATCTAACTTATGGTGACAGTTTCATTATGTAAACGTACATATGTCAAAACTTATATGCTAATAAGAGCTCTAAACGTTTTTGAGATGGGGGTCTCTGTCACCCAGGCTGGAGTACAGTGGTACAATCTTGGTTCACTGCAGCCTCAACCTTCTGGGCTCAAGCAATCCTCCAACCCCAGCCTCCTCAGTAGCTGGGACCACAGGTGTGTGCCACCACAACCAGCTAATTTTTGTGTTTTTAGTAGAGATGGGGCTTCAACATGTTACCCAGGCTAGTCTCCGAACTTCTGAGTTCAAGCAATCCCCCTACCTTGGCTTCCTAAAGTATTAGGATTACAGGCTTGAGCCACTGCGCCCAGCCAAAACTTTTTTTTTTT